CAATGCATACTGGCTGCTACCCCTTTGCAAATAAGGCTCCTTTCAGATGTGTTGCTGTTTGTGCACCTGAAACTGCTGCTTATCTGTGCAAAAGTAAGCCACTTTGTTTAAATGAATGACAGAAAACAAAATTAATTGGATATCCTGTACAGAACACTCTGGGGTTTTTTAGTGTTATCGAGTTTACGTCATATCAGTAATTTGAAATTACTGGTGAACCAATAACACTTATTTTAGGAAGAAAGAGCCCTACACCATTCTGTGATAATTTTTGATATTATTATTTGGTTTACTGTACAAGCACATATACTTTCTTTAACTGGTTCCTTCTTTGAGTTCAATGTTAGATTGCAGTATTTCATACCTGCTTTGTATGACCATAAATGACCCGTCACACATGTGACACGTGATAAAACAACCAAAAGCCAAGCTCATACTTACCATTTTATAAACTCTTAAGAAATCGTCATGGCCTCCTCTGCTTATTTTTTGTGTTTCTGCAGTTAAAAATCTTACTTATTATAACTAAAAGATAGCTTTCATAAGCTAATTTAAAGCTGAAGTGTGACTTGTTTTCTGCATGTCACACAGAGGAATGTGCTATCTCTTAAAAATTAATTTATCTTGCTTCTTGGAATTGCTTTGCAGCTATGCTGCAGAGATAACATAACAGTGTCAAACACACTTCTATCTCCAAAAGAAAACAAGGAAACAGCTGGGAGTGATTCCCAAAACCGTCATTCATTGTGCAATGTTCAGAAAGTCACAAGTAGAGATGCTAATACATCTCTTGCATCCAGGATTGCCCTACATATGTAGGACAATTGACTTCCTTACAATAGCAATTGGAAAACTGGAGCTTCTGCAGTTGTGTGCTTATTTGTAACCAGTTAGTGTAATACCACAATCTCAGAACAAGCCCAATAGCAAACAAATACAGCAAAAATGTGGATTTATGATGTGCATTACCAGTTTTTGTCTTTTTTCACACAGAAAATCCCTCCTTTTCCTCCATCTCTATATTCTCCTCAAGCCAAGCTGATTAACAAACAGCCTGTGCTAATATCTTGGAACACACACATACTCTCTCCCCCCTCAGGTGATAAGATCTTGGTTGGAGAGATTGACTGTTAATTAATTAGTGCTCTTGAGGTCTCATCTTTAAAGGACAAATGTTGATATTTTGAACATTTCTTGAGTAGATTCTGGTGTTTTATAAAAGCAGCTGACAATTTAAAAGTCTGAGATTCAGTAACATAAAATATTATGAAAAATCCACATACTGCAATTTTACCAGGAGTGAAAACTTCCTTTTACTCTAGAGAATACAGAGACTTCTAACAGATCAAATAATAGAAAAAAGAAAAGTGCTTTACTGGCATTTTTAGGTCATGTTTCAATACATACTGAAATATTCTCTTTTATTCCAGAGTTGTTCCAGATTGAATTATTTTCATATTTCTTCCAGCAAATTTTTTAACAGAGTTTTGAACTCTCATTAGAGTGATGATTTATTTTCTCCTTTTGGTTGTGTAAAGCCGCTGAAGCTGTGTGGCTATATTGGGAGCTAACTGGGTGACACATGTACAGAGGTATAATTAATACAAACCAAATGCACATCCAGTGCAAGAATTATATTTGCACTTAATCCAATATGTATTCATAGCAAGAGTGAGGGGATGACTTCTTACTCTTTCAACTTCAGAGTTTAAAGTAATAAAATTAACTATGCAGGAAAACGACAAAAGTGAACATAGAATGCAGTAACATAAATGAAGGAGAATCTGCTTTCTTTTCTGCATGTAAAATGTTGGGATATTTTTTCAAAAAAAAGAAGGCCAGTATTACAAGTGCTGCTGTGTGTGGCTGTAGCAGCTTTCCAAGTGAGTCATCAGCTGTGTTTGGATCCAGTCTTTCAGTTCCACTGCACAGACACCTGTGACTTGAAGGAAAGGATTTCCTACATTAGCTGGCACAAGCAGTAGGTTTTTATAGTCTAAGGATCATCTACTTGAGAAAAAGAACTAACAGTGAGTTGCAACTTTAGAAATTGCTTCACAGCTACCTTTGACAGACCCTTTCCTGAGGCGTTGTGGCTGCTTCGTCCGAGGGAGAAAGGGACGGATTGGTGTCGCCTCTCACTCTGCAGAAGGGGCAACTTATGGCTCCCCATTGCTCCTCAGTAATAAATGCTGCAAAGTGCACAGTGTCACTGCAGGGACAATATACCTCAAACAATACCTCAAACAATACAGGATCCCCTGAATCAGGTCCAGTATCAAATGCTACCTGGGCATGAAATATGGATTAAAAGGATCATTCCCCTATCTATAGAAACTATGTATCTGGATGTCATTGGATGTGTCATTAGATGCCTACCTGCATTTTCCGACATCTTTTATTTTAATGAAATCGTTATTTCAACATCTGTTTTGTCTGTGAAGAGAATCTGAAATAAAGATAAACCAAGTCTAACCATTACAGAAGAAATTTATTACTTCCGTACAGATCCTGAAAGAGAGGAAAATTTGGTTACAAGTTTCTCATGACAATTATTTTAAAGGATGATCTTTATTTAGTTAAAAAGTATTATAAAACCTGTTTCAAAAAAGAAATCTATGTGGGTTCTGGCAAGCCATTTTTTTAATTTTAATTTATACTAATTTTTGTGTGAACAATTTTCTTTACTCTATGAAAACTTAAAATGGAAAAAAAGATTGACATAAGTGAAGAATTTCAGTCTTTTCATATGAAATGTCACATGGCAAAAAAGTCCCAAGACACTTTCTGAACAATTTTAATGAGCTTGAAACTATTCTGTTAATCTCAGTGGAGGTTTAGTAATTTCATGTTAATTTTGTTCATTTTTTTTTCTCCTGTAAGAAAGGGGAGGATTGAAGATCTGCACTATTTGTTGTGATTGATATCTCATTTTGGCTGTCAGTCACCAGCAGGCTTTTGTTCCTGGTGCAGGTCAGCTGTGAGAAGGGAGAATGCCCAAGGGTACACCCTCATCCTGGGCAGAGCTCGGCTGTCATTTCCAAGCCCACAGGCACTCGAGTGTCTCCTTAGATAGCTCTAATGAAGTCTAATCCCACATATCCAGTAGATGGACTCTTAAAATGAATCATAGCAGCCAATTACATTTTGTTTTGTTCATTGGTCCTAGTTATATTCCTTGCTGATAGCCAGTGTCAATACATGTGCTCTTGCAATGGACTATGCAAACATAAAATTACAGTTAAGTAGTCGAAAGTCAGGGTGTGCAAGCAGAGCCATACCTTCACTCAAATACCATTACCCCAGAGTTTTAGCCATTTTTCCATGGTTCTTAATCATACTTGGCTCTGATTGATTAAAGCCTTAAAGGCACATTTCCCTTTGCACGGCAGTCTCATTGAGCTTCCTGTAAAACAGGCTGATTGATCTCATTTAATTTATGCCTATTTCATCTGGGGACACATATTGGTCTGTAGGAGGGGAGAGTCCATCTCTGCCTACAGGGATCAGTCGTTTGGGTGCAATTAGTTTATAATAGTTCATAGCCTCAGACCAGTTCTCTACTGCTGCTTTTCACAGCTGCCCCTGACTTGCTTGTATGAATTCAGAGTTACACAAGTTACTAAAAATTTCCTTGCAAAATATGGGTTTTAACTGCTGGACAGAAGTAAGTGTATATATGTCAGTTTCTGGTGATATTCCTCCTAAAAGGTTTGAGTGGTGACAAGAACATTTTTTCTTAACTGCAAATGCAATTGTCTTTTTAAGTACAATGCTTTTATAATCCTGGGCTAGGAACAAATTTATCAAAAAGCTAGAATTATTTTCAATTCTTATTATTACCATCTTACACATTGTAACTATGTTGATTTTTCTTTTCTTTTGAGAATCTGAAAAAATAACAAAAAGCTCACTCTTCATTTCTTAATATTTGAATGGATAGATGCTTCAGACTTTAACTGTGCTATTATTGTCATGCATCACAGACTATTTTTATTCAAAGTAAAACATTACTTACGCAAGCAGAATTTTCCCACACTATCACAGCTTTAGAAGGTGATTTGATGAATTTAAAGGGACCATTTCACACTACTAGGATAGATGAATCTGTGGTCTGACAGAGTCTGGTTATTTTGATGTCCAGTTTTAAACAACTGAAGTGACTAGGGGCACAACCTTAAAATACAGACTGTTTTCATACTCCAGACTGAAAAGTGTCAGATCTGTGGTATCAAAACACGCTGATTTATTCGCTGCATGTTCCACTCTATGTTGTCAACATACTCCGTACTGGGGAAATTACAATGTATACTAGTCCACATGTTCTGTACAATGCCCATTTACACCAGATGCTTCAAGCTTGAAGCATCTTTAATTTCTTGCATTGCAATAGATGTATTCCATGTGAGCTTGTTTTCAGAAAAAAATAAGCCATATGTCAGGCACTGATAAGAATTTCCCACATGGTTATAAATGAAAGTGCTGTTCTGCTTTCTTGTTACAGAATTTAATTACCTTACATGTCTGTGTCCATAGCACCAGATTGGCCATTCAGTCAGTTGGTCACTAGTTCAAAACCTGCTCAGAGGCTTGCAACCCAATGTAGTCTTGCTGTAAGTCAGTATCTCTACTGTGCAGAGAATCCAAGTTGTTTGAAAAAAAAATTTTTTTTCAACAAAAAAGTATCTTGCTGAGGTGAAACACTCAAAGTTATACACACCATGCAGCAATTTTATTGGAAAAAGTTCTTAGATGAGCATCATGTGGTCTGCGTGTGCTTACAAAGGGGTATGTTAATGGAAAATATATTGGCAATGCAAGCAAAATATCTGCAAACAAAATTAACGCTCAGTGGGAAAAAATAGGAAAATAAAAAAACGGAACACATCTAAAAAATTGAAGATGTCTCTTGGTGCTTCTTCGAAATAGTGAAAGAAAATTATTAAGAGAAATATAGGAAGGGTTTTTTACTGTTGTTATTATTTTTTCTTTATCAATAGGCTTCAGGAAACTGATAAACATAGGAAAAATATCCAGCTGTAGCCCTGAGTTATCCAAGACCTAAGACAAGCCAGGTGTGGGGACATTAGTGACGATGAGAAATAAGGGGCAACAGGGCTGTTGCTCCTTTGGAACCCCACTCAAGGGCTGCAAGTGAGTGTGAGATCATCTCCTCGGCTGCTCCTCCCCAAGAGAGTAGAAGTCATGGGGCTGAGAACCTCAATCTTTTTTTCAACAGAGGTAATTTTTCTTTGGCCTTTTTGTATAATGAATCAGTTATTTGAATTAATCAATAACATTCTGAAGTATCACTGGAGTGGCAAAAATTTCTTTGATTGACTTTCCTTTTGTTTTTCTCTTGAACTGCTGTCCTTTTTTGTCTCTAGAAGGCTGTGTTGGGTTACTCCTGCAAAGGGATAGAGGCTGCAACAAAGTGCTGAGGAGCATCAGTGAAAATAAATGGTGGGAAGTAAACTTTTCAGTGCGTTTTCCCTCTGCTCAGGACTTCTGGGAGGTGAGGTCCACCTCACTCCCAGCCTGGAGTGACTTCCTGTACTCTGCTTCCATTGGTGTAAAACCAATTACTCCTGGTTGCTTATATTTCTGCACGTTTGGTGCAAGATATATCGGGTCCTGAGTATTTTAAATTCAGAACAGAATATTTTACATGTCTGCAGTGAGAGATTTTCATTCATCCATATAATAGCTATATGCTTTGTCCATATAAAGATAGTTTATGATTTTTACCATTTGACAGTATTGCCACTGGGCTATGCAATTCTTAAAATGTGGTCCTTCCACAATTCCATAAAGCAGCAATTAGCTAAAAAGGAAAATAGTTATTTGTGTTTAAGCATAAAGAGGAAGAAAATATACCTGCCAAAATTGAGTATTTTAACTTCCGAGAAGTCGGAGGTTTAGAAGGGTGTTCTGGTCTTGAGGTTTAAAATCTAAAATATTGGGAAAGCATAAAAATATTATTTTGACAAAATAGTCTGCCTTTCCTATTTTCTCCCAACTATGTATTTTTACCTATTTTTAACTGAAATCTTAATTATGAAACTCATTCTATCTAACAATAGTTTTAGCAAGTAGGTCAGTCCTTTTTCACATTTTATTGCTTTCTACCATATTCTAGGCAATTGTGTAGATATTTTAGTGTGTCCAACTGGAGATAAATTATCCTAGAGGACATTCATGGTTGTTTTGGGGTATGCACTGGAGCCAAAGCAGTATTGCTATGGAAAATCATCGTGATGCCTCAAACTAGTAAGTCTCCATAGCAACTTAAAAAAATAATGACAGCTGTACCAAGAATTTTGCTAATAGAAGCCCTTAACACATTTGTCTAGACTCAGTCATACTTCATACTCATTATAACCAGTAGACGGATTGTAAGACAATAAAACAGAGAGAAATAAACAGGGAATATCTGCTTTTCCTGGTATTTCCCACTGACTTCAGTTAAGTTATCTGACCTTGTCTGTGGCCAATACAACCATAAAAGTGAAATGTAAGAATATTTAATAACAGATTAATTGCAAAATATTTGATTCTAATATGTACAGCATTTCATTTATTATATGCGATATACAAAGTGGAAATTTCTCATTAATTAGCGTAAAGATAGGTGTTCTGAAAACAAATAGGAAAATTCCCATACTGATAATGTTAAAATTATTGGCTGTAACAGTCTATGTTGAAAAGATTGAATGAAAAATGCAGCAGTATGAGAGACATCCTGTTCTAAAATGGCCTCGCTCAAGTTCAAATTACAGGCCACTGATATATAGAGAAGGATTCTGTACAATCAAATCACAAGAGAGATTGCTAGCTGTGGCCTGCTGGAAATGTGCAAACAGACTAGAGAATAAGACAATTAGCTGTGCAACTGTTGAGCTACAATATATAGCAAGAACAAAAATTTTTATGGGTTGGTATCAGTTCAAAAGAGATGTGAAAAATCAGGTTGTTGTTTTTAAGGCACCCTTTGAATTTTCTATATAAACAAAAATTGTATCTAATGGAGCAGAACTCTATATAAGACCTTAAAAAATAAAGAGTTAATCACAGAACTGAAAAAATAGTTGAAACTGATTTTATCTGATTACATTTTTATTGTGAGTTCTGCCAAGAATACATGTTCTTGGGGGGGGTTGAAAAGGACAATTTAATAAAGCTGAAAATAATTTTGAGACAATCAGCTGAAGAAAATGTAAACAGAAAGATGAGAAAGATAATTGTCCATTGTTGAATAACATTTTACTAGATTCCGAAATTGCATTTTCAGAATGATGTTGTTGCAGTGATTTAAAGAAAGAACAGTACGGGTCAAAGTAAAATGAAAAGCATCTCTAAATCATAGTGAAACACAGAAAAAGAAAGCTGGAACAGTCATAATAACAATTGTCTTGGATTTTAGAAAGTAGATAGTGGAAGCAAAATGTTAAAGACAAAAAATCTATGGTTAGCAGATCTAAAAAGGAAAAGGTAGAGAAAGGAGTTCCTGGCTGTACTGGGAATCCTGATAATATTGTTGTTCTGTGGTTGTATGATGATAGCAGAATTCATGAAAAGCAGAATCTCAGTCACTTGGTGTCTGCATTTGGGGAAAGCCAGATGGTAGTTATATGACATGATGATGCAGTCCTTTTAATTTTAACCAGTTACACAGCAGTTTGTTTAATTTAGACATTTAAAGTTTGCATGTGTACTTAACTTGCATCTGATAGTTTTAAAAGAACTAGCAAAAGACCCCCATGGGCATTTTGCTTTGGTGATTACAGTGTTGAAACATGGGAATTTTCAAGTTGGGAAAAATCTAATGTGTGCCAATATTTAAAGATGATAACAGAACTAACTCAGGAAATTAGAGGCCTATCAAGTTGAGATTGCTCAAACACAATTAATGTCCATCAACATTAGCTTCACAAAAATAATTTTTGTCAGACTAATTTGATCCCATCCTTTGATGAGATTACAAGTTCTTTTCAATCAAGATAATATTGTTGATGTCATAAACTTTTTGAAAGGACATGTATTCACACTAGAAGACATTTTGTTAAGAAAATAAAGCAACAGAAAACCCACCTAACATCTATGAATTTAATTAAAAATAAATAGGTCCTATAACCATAAATGAAGAACCATCATAGTGAGAATTTGTTCCTTGTGAGATTCATCCCCCCACACATTATCTTTCTTAATGAGATAAGAAAACATGACATTTTGTTGATGAAGTTTTCCTATACCACTAAAACTGGTAGAGGATTAAATGATAAATAAGGCTGGTGAATGACAGAGAGCAATCTGAATTTCTTTACAAAATGGAACAAGTTATTTTTTTGGAAGTCTGTGCAGAGAGAACAGTGTGAGCTACACTTGTTGGATGGAAAAGACTCCATGCTGGGAAATAGGGACTGAAAAGGATTTGATTTTATGATGGATAATCAGATACACGTGGAGCTCCAGCGGTGCGCCACGGCCAAAGTGCTAAAATGATCATTGGCGTATAATGAGGAGAATATGAATAAAAGCAGGGAGCTTGCATTATTCAGGCAAAGATTTACTGTGAGGGAGAAGGGAAAGTGCTACACAGACAGTAGCTCCTTGGCGAGGTCTGGCCTGGTGCTTCGTGCCTCTGATAGAGGAGAAAGTGGGGCACTGCACAACTCCTCCCTTGTGCCTGTGCTGGGGTTCAGCAGCCAGCCACCATGTTTCATCCCTGCTGACCTTACCCTGTAGGAAAGCATTTTGGTCTTCTTCCTTGTGTTTTTTTTTTGTTGTTTTTTTTTTTGTTTTTTGTTTTTGTTTTGTTTTGTTTTGTTTGTTTGTTTGTTTAACATTCTTATTTATTTGGTTTTCTTTAAAAAGAAGGGTTTGATAGGAACTCTGGATGAGTTAAAGGACTGCAAAATATGCTGAAAATGAGAGACTAAATTTCAAACTCTTGATTTACTAAAGAACGGAAAAGTGGTACAAAGGCATTCTTAATTTCTCTGGAAAAGATTAGCAAAATCCATTGCCTGGAATTAGAGAAATTTAAGCTTAAAGTAACTTACCACAGAGAAGCGAATTGACCACAGGAAAAACTTACTGAGGCCTGCAGTGGACTTTCTCTGAACAGAAAATTCGAAACCATGATCAGTTTTCAGTCTATCTTAGCTGCATTATCAGTCTTAATACAGAAATTCACTTAGAGGAGTCCTGTAGATGTGTAATGACAGAAGTCACATTAAATAATCAATAGATCCCTTCTAATATTAATATATTTTAGTCAAAAATACAAAATGCTCATGTTGTTCTGTTGAGATGATCTGCACAAGGTCTTAGTGACGTTCTTTAAAAATGTGCTTCGCAAATAATTTTAATTTGTAAGCCAAATATCAGGCATATAAGCTGTGAAATGTTCAAATTCTTTGCTATGGAATAAAAGATTGATTTTTCTGGTTGATGTAAAAAACAGAAATTCACCTAGATTACAAAATCTAGTCTTTCATCTCCAATTAAGCATGTTCAGAATTGCTTATTTCTGTCCATGTAGGAAAGGGAAAGCATAATGCACTGCAGCTGCAGAGATTAACTCTTGAAGTCAGGAGGCTCTGTCCTCCTGTGGGAATACAACTGACAGCCCAGCCTGCCTGTGGGCCCACCCTTGTCCCCTTGCATGGGGTCATGCAGGAGCTGTGTTGGAGCTGGGCTGGGGGACAAGGGAAGGAGGTGATGGAGGGGCTGGAGTAAGGGCATAGATAGAGACTCCTGCCACTACTATGATAGAAAATATTCTTCTTTATGCTTTCAGATGGGTTTATTTGCTCAACATTTTTTGTTTGTTTGTTCGTTTTGTTCAGTTCTAGTTAAAAGTACATATTAACTCAAGCCATTTGTTTCTCCTTTCTCACTGCACCTGCTGGCACCTGTTTCACCTTGTTATACCTGCTGGCATAATGTCACTTGCCACTGAGTCATAGCTCTTAGAGCTAATTCAGCCATCCATTCCTCTGCTACCCTGCCCTTCCTGCTTGGAGTGATTCAGAGCCTGGTCTTCACATGCAGCCTTTACCAAGAAGTTTACATAAAAAAGAAGAAAAAACCCCGCACCAATAAACCCTGCTGCTTGCATGGTTGGTCATTTGGCCCATGTTACAGACATGCTATCTGCACTATCAGTGAAATGAAAAAAACAGTGCCTTTTTGTATGTCATTTGCTGCCAAAAAAATTCCAAGATGATCTGTACAGT